TAGAACTCCTGTGTAGATTATGTTTTCCGCCGGTTTTTCTGTGTACCTGAAAGATGCCTCTTCGCTATTATCCGAGGTGACTTTCCCTGGTGCGCAGCTTCCCGGCTTCCCTTCTGCCCAGGAGCACGTTCTCCCGCCGGTCCCTCTGTGCACCTGAAAGATGCCTCTTTGCTATTATTCCATATTAGACTAGGGAAGCGAAATATTTTTTCATCTCACTTTAGAGAGCTGGTGTTCTGTTTGTTGAAAGCATTGGGAATCCAGATGGTATTAAATTGATATTTTTAGCTTTTTGGTATTTTTAGAAATCTTACCTCTAAGATTTAGATTTTGTGAATTTATGAATGATGGTCAATTTTCAAAGCAAAAGAAAATGATATATTTTGTCACTTTTTAGAGTTGCCTGTAACGTCACCATTAGGTATTGCTGTGATTAAAAACTTGGAGAATTGGGAACAGATCCTACAAGAGAAAATGGATCAGTTTGAAGGTCCACCCCCCAATTACATCAACACATATCCCACTGACATTTCAGTAGGTGCTGGACCAGCTATTCTTCGAAACAAGGCAATGCTAGAACCTGAAAATACTCCATTCAAGTAAGAAAGCTCTTAAAATAATGATGAAAGTATAGTTTGGTTTAATCTTTATGGAAAGCAATTAGGCCAAAACGGAAAGAACCTTTAAAGTGTTTGTAACTTTGGAACCTGCAGTTATCTTTCTTGTTCTAAGTGTACTCTAAGGAAAACATCAGAAATATGGACAGAAAATTACCCTCCCAGTAATACCTATAATTCAGTTGATATGTTATTGTGAGCTGTGAAGTTGGAACTGACTCATAGCTGACCCTCCAGTGGGTTTTCAGAGGCAGTAAATCACATGGGAGGAGATTGCCCGTTCTTCTCCCACAGAGCAGCTGGTGGATTAGAACAATGTGCCTTTGGAATTGCAGCTTCTTACTAATAGATATATTGCTTTTATAATCAGGAAAAATACTCTTTTATTGTTACTAATTTCTGTATTTTTGTTATTTTAAAAGCATACAGATTTTCTTTTTTATAATCTATATAAGCAAAGGAGACAGTGGACTTTGTGTTGTAATTTACAACATAATACAGTTTTAAAATTTAAAACCCCTTTGATGAGCAACACTTTGAGATGGCAGCTGTAGTTAAGGGTATTTCTTATCAATTTGAAAGAGTAAGGCTTAAACAGTTTAAAAATGGAATCTGTGACTTTATAGTTATTGGTGATACATGTTAACCTTCAGAGTAAAATTAAAATATAATTTAAAAAAAATAACCAGTTTATTTTTACTCTCCATTTATTTTTCCATTCAGAGAACCTGTTATTAGAAAATTAGTGCTTGATAAAGGAATTACTTTTAGGAGAACGAGAAAATAAAAGTGAAATAATTTGTAAAATTTTGTTGAGTTTATTAATGCCTTACTGTCTTTGTAGTATATTAAACAATTTTTAAATAAAATGATCTGCACATAAAAGCACCATTTTCTGTTAGACTGAAAAATGCATTATTTCTTTCTACACAGATCTCGGGACTCCTCTGCACTTCCAGTCAAACGACTTTGGCATTTCCTTGTTAAACAGGAAATCCTTCAAGAGACCTTTATTAGATATATATTCACTAAGAAGAGAAAGCAGAGTGAGGTATTTTGAGGAAACTTTTTTAATGTAATTTTTGTTTAGTTTTCTTTTCACATTTCTAAGAAAGTGACTGTTGTGTGCCGCTCAGTTGGAACTGACACGTAGCTGACTCTCCAGTGGCTTTTCAGAGGCATTTAGTAGCATTGCTCATCTTTCTCCCGCAGAGCAGCTAATGGATTTGAACCACATACCTTTGGGATTACTGTGCAACTTCTTACCACTCAATCACCAGAGCTCCCTCCCTGACTTATTTTAGTATCTTAATTTTTGGATGAAACAAACTTACTATCTTTCATACATCATAGGTAGTAGTCAAAGTTTACTGAGCAAACGTGAATTCCTTTTGAGAATAAAATATTAACATATTTCACTTCATAGAAATGAATGTCACTTGATAATTTAGGTATAATCAAAAGAAAATCAGTACTTTATAATATTTGCTATTGTGATTTGGCTTAAGTAAGTATTGTGAATATTTGAGGAATTTAAGGCATAACTAACTGGATGCATTATATAATATGATTCTTTAAATACGATTTAATAAAAAAGTACAACTTAACTCTTTAAAAACACTCACTTTCCTTAGCGTTTAGAAATCAATGGTATCAACTGTAGAAACAACATAATTTGGGATAAGTTGTGAAAGAGAATGTTTGTTGTTGTTGTTATGTGCCGTCGAGTCGCCTGCGACTTATAGCGACCCTATGTACAACAGCCCTAAACTCTGCTCTGTCCTGTGCCAATCGCACTGTCTCTGACACTCCCATCCCAATTATCCCAGTCA